ATTAAAATTAAAATGCAAACAGGAAATAACTTTTAACCCTGGAATCAACACATGTATAATAACAATTTGTAGAATTATTTTTCAAAGTTTGAATTTTGAAAATATTGTTGTGTAGCACAGTTTATCAATATCCGACATAAACTTGTATAAAGATTCAACATCTGAAATTTTTTCTAGAGTCACTTTTTTATTAAAGCCCTCACCTGCTTCGGGAGGATTAATAAACAAATTTTTTTCAAAACCAATTGAATGTGAAACTATGGACACGCTTTTTGGATTATTATACCCGAAATCAGTTTTAAATAGAATTTCAGGAAGTGAATCTTGGTTAAAATGCAAATAACAAATTTAAAAAAATGGTATTTGGGTGAAGTTATATAATTTCGATACCTTATTAAAGTCTTTAAACTTATTAAGAGACATTTGTAAGACAATAAAGGGTTTTTAGAATTGACTTTCAGTAAAGATCTCACAAATGACAACGGTGACCAAATATCTTTTTTTTTTATATGTTTCTCTATCTGCGAATGAGCATTATCCACTTCTTGGATGCACGAGTGGCCTGGAACTGAATACTTCATTATAACAGATTTGATTCTGGGATTTTTCAACATAAACCCAATAATAGCCGTTGACATTATTTTATTTCTGTTTTGTGGCACACAGCTATCAGACCACGTAACAATGTTTAGTATATCCAAATTATTATCAACAATATGTTGTAATATATTAATAAACGCACTTGCAATGTCGTTACCTGATCTACCAACAATTGTTTCATTCCAAATGGCACAATATATAGTATTAGAAGTTGACAAATGAGCTGTTAGGTTATATACATTTAATTTTCTTTTATAAAATGCTGGGTCGACATTCGTTTTTGGTAGTGTGATTACATTTTCTAAGTCAAAACAAACAACAACATTTTCTTGATCACATTTTTTTTGTCTTCATCTCTTTCCATTCTCATAGTATCTTTTTTAAGTATATGTTCTTCATACTGATATTGTTTATTAGTTGATACTTTAAATTCCTCGCATGTAGCACATAAATCATTTTTAGGACGGAAAAATCCATGTTAAAATTACAATTAAATAATGATCTATACAGGTGAGCTTTAACCGGTGTTCTAGGATTCTCATCCATAAGGCATTTATTTGTATATAGATTGTACATTTTTGATATGTTCAACTCAGAAACTAAGTATTGCTTTTTTGTGTCATGTCGGCAGTAATGTGATTCAACTGTAGGTAAACTAGATATATGGTCGATTGCATATTGTTTGTCATCTGCTTTAATATGAATAGTTGTATTCTTGCCTCGCTTTTCATCAGGTGGAGTTAATGATAGTGGATTCATAGATGAATGGCAATTGTAAATAACCTTTTGGCTAATACATAATGTGTTTAAGAAAAATTTTTTGCAGACTCTAATCAATAATGTCTCAGATTTGTAGAAATTATACCGGTAAAATTTTTTTCTTTTACTTTTTTTTACTTTTTGAAGTAATTACCGATGTATAGTTAAGTATAAACCCAAGTTTATCTTTTCTGCTGAGACTATAGTATAAATCGTGAATACTTATTATTTCATCTTTATGAAAATTAAGTAAACAACTATGAGCACAACTATTACAAAACTTTAGAAAGTTTACATTTTTGGCTGGAATTATTTTTCCTGTTTTAGATACATGTTCTAGTCCTTTGTTAGTTAAATCTTTATTGATTGATTGTTTCCAATTTTTGGGATTTCTTTGTTTTTTTCTGGTCAACTTTTTACCCATTTTAATTGGTGACTTTTCTGATGGTGATTCTTCAGAAGATTCAACTAGTCTGAGAACAAATTGTTTTAATTTAGTTATTAAATTACATTTAAGTGTATTTACTATTTTATATCATAATTATTAAGACATAAACTTTTAAATGTAATTTTAGTATTCTTATCGCATGGACTGTGTGTGACATGTTTGCATTTTTGCAAAAATTTGTAGTCTATCTATCATAAGGTTAATATAAAGGTCTTAGTATAATAGTAAAACATATTATAATATTATAACAAAATATTCAATAATCAATTATTCAGTGAAAAATTAGTATAGTATATTTAATAAATTTAATGTATAAATATAAAAAATTAAGGTATTTTTACTCCGTTATGTTAGCTCAAGTTGCAATTATTGATTAAAATAATTATAATAGTGTCACATTACCTTAAAATGTATGTTGAATCTTCATCAATCATATCATAAGAAATTTGAGTATGTACTTTCTGAGGAGATTTACTTTTAAAGCCATTCCAATCATTTAATTCATTTAAACTTTCAATGCCATTTTCTGAATCTTTAATGTTTTGAAGTAAACTAGGTTTACAAAAACAAAACAGTTTTTAAGTATAGATACTTTAATTATATAAAAAAAATTGATTTTTGTAATAGAAATATTGAAATTTATACTGCTGTTGAAATGATAACAAAATATACAAATTTTTACTACAGATGATACAAATTTAAGCCATGTTTGATTAAAATAATTATAATAATGTAACGTTACCTTAAAATGTTTGTTGAATCTTCATCAATCATATCATAAGACATTTGAGTATGTACTTTCTGAAGAGATAGACTTTTATAGCCCATCAAATCTTGTTATTCATTTATACTTTCAATATAATTTTGAGAATCTTTAGTGCTGTGAAGTAAACTAGGTTTACAAAAACAAAACAATTTTTAAGTATAGATACTTTAATTATATAAAAAAAATTGATTTTTGTAATAGAAATATTGAACTTTATACTGCTGTTGAAACAATGACAGAAAATAACAATTTTTGTTATAGACGATAAAAATTAAAACCATTTTGATTAAAATATTTATAATAAGTTAACATTACCATGAAGTGTTTGCTGTTTGTTGATTAATTAAATTATCATTAACACATTGTGTATGTATTTGCTGAGAAGATTCACTTTTAAAGCCCATGCAATCTTGTAATTCATCTATAATTTCAATATTATTTTGTGAACTTTTATTGTCTTGAAATAAACTATGAATACAAAAAAAAAAAAAAAAAAAAATGATTTAAATAATATGTATCAAACAATAAAAAAAAAGTTTAAAAATGAAAATTGTAAATATTTAGTGGTATTACAAGTGAAAATATAATATGTTTTATATAATATGTTATATATTAACTTGATCAACATTAAGTATTAATTTTAGTCTTATAGTTAGTATACCTAATGTATTTATAATTTTAAAAATTAAATTGAATATAAATAATTGATATAAGAAGAAAACTAAAATAATATGTACCTAGTTTAAAATAAAAGCCTCTCCAACAAACAAATATTCTAATATCCTGGGTCACAAAATTCCTAATTATGTATTATGTACATATATATTTTAGTTAGGTATAAGGTAATCAATTTAATATATTTTTCAAAACAATAACTTGCAAAGGCCTCATATTATTTACAATTTGAATAGTTATAATACATAAATTGAAAAGTAGGTACGTACCTTTTACACACTAATGGTTTTGGTTCACATAGTTCTAACCAATTATCAACGTATTTCTTTGGATTATTTTTTTCATGATTTTCTCTGATACTATCTTCCTTTAAAGATCTTAATTATTAAAAAATAAAAAATAATTTATAGGCATGTAATAACTTATTAATTATTATTGATTTCAAAACAAACTTACTGATCAACAGACACCAATTTAAATGGAACATAATCTTTATCTTTGTCCAAATCATATTGTTCTGAAGAAGAACTTTTAGAAGAAACTGATTTAGTTGAAAATATTTTTTTCATTTTAGTTAACTCTAATAACTTATTAGACCGACGTCTTCTTAATACGCTTTCCATTTTTTACAAAACAGTTATTATTATTAAAAGTTAAAACAGACTATAATTTTATCAATTATTGTGTACCATAATATCATCATACAATAATAATAATTAATACAATTATTATTGTACTATTGGTAGTGATTAATTTAATTAGAACCTTTTCATACTAATGTATTGTTAATAATTTGGGTCCATTAACCGATCGTTTACAATTTGATGAAAATGTGTTTATAATTTAATTTTTGGCGATTTAGAACCTTTTACTTTAAAAAAAATCATCAATAATGATTGTATAATCATGAATGTTAGCTTAAAAGATGCGCCTTTGAATTCTAAAATCAATTCTGTTAAAAAATGACTTTTGAAAAAATTCGATTTAGAACCATTTCATTCTAGACTCACAATATCTAGCTATACATTAGTTGACATCTGACATGCGCTTATCTGAAAGCGATTATAAACATTTCGAAACAATCTACACAAAGATGTCATTAGCATATTCATTAATGCTTTTGAATTTTACAAGGTTATCGTCTTATCAACCAAAAGATAGTTATGAGTTATCTAATATATTTTGTAAGTTATAAATAATGCATGTCAAATTATTCAAGTAATTGTCTATTTGTTATTGTATGATTTTCTTCTGTGCATTCATACAATTCGGGATTGTATAGTTACTTTACTAGAATAAGTTACTTTTGAACACTTTTAACTAATATAAAAATTATTTATTTTTAATATGGTATACTGGTATAGGTATACACACTTTTGAAGAATTTTGGATTTTTATATTTTGACTATAGGACATGTTGTAATGTTAAATGTTATCAAACTCATACAATTATAATTTAGTTTTGAGCAATAATTACAGCCTACAGTTTATTTTTGCTTGTAATATATTTATATTTTTTTATTTTTATTGCAAAAAGTATTCATTATCAATTATTACCAATTTATTATCACCGTACAAAGTGTCTGTTTATCCACATAATGGCGTACATAGGGATAGTCTTCTAGGGTTCTAATCTAACCTTAAATTTTTCTTTATACAAAAAAATCTTATTTATCACTAGGCATGATCAATACACAAAGAAGATTAATTTATTATTATTAATAAATTATAAGATGGCAATAACATCAAGAATCATAGTTTTGGATTTTTTCTTTTTGGCTGAATAAGAACATCACTAAGCGTCTGCAATAATTTTCACATCATGTAGCACCAATTGACCAATTATAACCACTTTTATTATGGTACAAGGATGAAGGAACTTAAAAAATTTGTAGGTTATTGGCCTAGTTATTGGTTAAATACTCTAAATATAGACTAGATTAGAGAGTGTAATTCAATACTTTATCTAACTAACCTAAAAGAATAAATAAAAACCTGTAAAAAATATTGAAGATCTTTCATTTAAATTATTTAATATTGTACATGCCCAAATACAAATATACACACATTTGTCTAGAATTTATAATCATATTTTATTATTCATATTTAATTGAGATAGTTAATCTTACATATAATACATAGATTATTCAATAATAATATAATCAGTAAATAGATAGGTTTAAGTATAATCTAATATGTGACTTGTGAAAATTTAGGTATAGTCAAACATATTTACTAAAAGAAAATTAATAAAAATATAGTACAACAATGAAAATTGAACTTAAAACATTAACATGAAATTCAGTATGTAATGATCATCCAGTTGAAAGATTATTTAGGTAATAATTAAGATCATCTATTTAGACACAGGAAAGTAGATCAATATTTAAATAAGTAGTTAATGTATTCAAGTATTAGACTACAGAATATACAATTAAATATGACTATAAAAATTCTTTCAAATCCTATATATATATATTATTACTAATTAGTAATTAGTTATTACTATAACATGGTACTCTAGTAAGAATGAGGTTGTAAAGGTCATTCTATTATCAAAAAAAGTTTGTTTCCTACTGCTAAATTATCTGATGTAAGAATATTATGATTTTAGTGAACCAAAAAAATCAATAAACAAGTAAAAGTTTCAAAATAAAAATAAAACCTTTGCGTGATTCAAAAAAAAAAAAATTAAAGAGGTACCCTAGGATTCAATATTTGAAGTTAGGAAATATGAAATCTGGCTAATACAAAAAGGAATTGAATTTCAAACATAAAATTAGGTATTCCATAAATGCATAAATTAATGCATAAATGAATTATGAAATATTGAATTATTTAATTATAATACTTATATCAAAATATTTCAAAGTTTACAAGAGTATTTAAAATGTATTATTTATAAATAAATTAATAATTCTTGCAGTATTTTTATCAAAACCAGTTATATACAACATACCATCACGACTAAGATTTACACGTTCTGAATGTTTTCCATTTAGACAACAAATAATAATCCTAGAAAAAAACATTTTTGATTAAAAATTATTTATTAATAATTAATTAATAATTATCAATAAAAATAATTTAGTAGGTATGATCATCTTTCTAGGTTAAAAAAATTATTATTTAAAATTAATAATAAAACAAAAATTATTTGATGTGGCAAAATAAATGTGATTTAGCATTGGTCAAGAACAGGGATTCTCAAATTTTTATGAACACTGTACACCTTTTTACCAATAAATTTTTGTGGGTACCCCATTTTTATTTACTAAACTAAAATATTTATACAATACATTTTGTTGACAAGACTCATACTCCTTAAATATTTTGAGTACCTCCAAGGGGTACACTTACCACAGTTTGAGGATCCCTTGGTTTAGACGATGCTACCTATAATGTCTATTATCTTGATTTTTAAGAAAATCTTTTCCTTATGTACGAGCTAATGTATTAAGTTATTAAACAGTTATGACAGTTTGTACTTGTATGCCATTATTATGACAACAATGCACTTTTGCATGATTTGATAATAAATGGAATAATACACTTATGTAAAGCAAAACAATAAATCATAATTTTGTAAGATTTTAAAATACACTTTTAATTAAAAAATTAGTGTTTAATTACCTTTTAAAGTTTATGAAATATTTTTTTTTCTGTCAGTAACTTGTTCTGAATGCGATATTATCTTAGATACATTGCGTGAAAAACAAAAATTGGGTTGTGTTTAAAAATATTCTGCATCAAACTAAATACTCTTATCTCAAAATATAGGCTTTGCCATGTATCAAAAATGTTTTATCTAGTACTTTAGACTTGTATGATTTGAAAAGATATCTAAATCCCATATTCATAATAAATATTTAAAATTATACAATTCTGACCTACCTATTGATTCAATGATCATTATTCATTATTAAAGTGTGCAACATATAATTGCTATATATTTAAGCAATGTGTTAAATCTCCCAACCCTTGGCACTGGCAGTTAACCATTATGCTCAAATAAATCTAAGTCAATAAGTAGTTATAAAAATAATAATACTATACTAGCTTATATTATATAGACATACTTAATTTTTGAATTTGAAGATGCTTCATAGTTTGCCTTGGTTTCTCTTATACCTCTTAAATCCATTTTAGAAGTTCCCAGAAACAGAAAAACATCAAAAATTTTGTCTCGTTTTCTAGCCCAATTGACAGTACTTAATGGTCTAATTGCTCGATCTATTGGATATTTATTATTTTTGGAGGACTGAAAATACATTTATATTGATTTTATTCTTCAATGTTGAATCATTTTTATAATAAATAAACAATTCACCTTTTGAAACAAACATTTTTTAAAGTATTGTACTGTCAATTTTTGTTGATAGTTAACTTCAATACATTTAAATCGATGTACTGGATGAAATAATGCGCATATTGTTGGTTTGTTTGATCTCTCCTGGTAAACTAGTGACTGTATTATCAACACAATAGCATCAAGGACTTTGACAAATTTTACATGCATATATTGACAATTCACTGACTCCATACATATTCGATTATCGTAAGCTATTAATAACTGACGACCTGTTGGTTTTAAGTTCTAAAAAAATGAAAGAGTGATTTTATAATTGTATATTGTTTTAATGACTGAGGTTAATATGATATAAATACTTTTAAAGTTCTTTCCACCAAATCAGTTGATAAAAACTTTTGTAGTTCACATACAGGAGTTGGAATTGGCTTCATGAAATATAGGTGACTATTAGGGAAATTTTTAGGAGATTTTTTAAGCTTATTTTCACAATCTTCTTTCATTCCGAGCTCTAGATTATCAGAACATCTGAAACAAATATTTATATATTTTTCATACTTTAATACCTTAATCTAGATGGGTTTTCTAAAACCTACTTTTGTTCAATCTCATTTGTTGCAAACCACATTAAATGATTGTTTCCTTTTTTTTTTTTTATACTGCTAATAACACTAAAATAAAACATTCATGTGTTTTAAAGTTATTAATTGATATTTGATTTTGTTGATCCTATTGATTTATATATACAAGTCAATACAGTTCAAATAACATTGAATTTTACTTACGTGTCATATCTTTCATATCTTAAAAATTCTAAATATGAGTCTATTGGATGTATTCCAGATTCATTTACTGCTACGTGATCTTTGAAGCGCGATATGAATTCCATAAGGCCCTGTTTACCTAATAAATTTTTGAATAAGCCATGTTTCTGTAAGAGGTAAGTATTATCTAATATTGTTCTCAGTGGTAAATGTCGAACAAACGAAATTAAAACCTAAAAGAAATTTCAGTTAGAACATTTTTTTAACATTGAACCTAGGTATAGCTAACTTTTGTACTCTGTAACATTTTTGGAACTATCAAATTGAAGTGTTTTCCTAAAGTACTCCATTTTGAATCACATATCAATTTACTATCTTCTATAGCTTCTATACGATGCACTAATTTAATATAGTTGTAAATACACTGTTGTTCCTTTGATAATTCCTCTTTCTGCATTTTAGGTTCAAATATTTGTTGCATTATATTAATGCCAAATCGTATGTATACAATGTATATTTGATGTCCTATAATACATTAAAATGCATGAATAATTTATAACTGCTGAACACTGTATTTAATAAATTACTTAGGTCCTTTGAATCAAGATGAATTGTATTCATAATATGTTTGTGACTAATACCACGAAACTTCTTTTGTTTTATTATACATTTAATCGTCTCAAGAGGATTTCTATTAAGATACCATTTTTGAAATGTCTTTCGAGCGCCATTACCGTAACCTAAAGATGTTTTAGGTATATATCCTAGAACAAATCCACAACATTAAAATTATATATTTATTTATTATACCAAGAAAAATTACCATGTTTGTATAGAATCTTAGCTGCACTATTACAAAATTTATAGAACATCAATAATTTTAATCCATCCGTACAAATGATTTTAAGAACTTTATAGACGTCAGATACCATTTTATGACATYGTTTTTCATGAAATTTTGAACATACAGCCAATAAATACATTAAATATTCATAATTTTCAATGTTCTTTTCTTGCTCGATCTAAAATTAAACAACAATATTTAAAACCAACAGTAATTGGAAACCATTATTATTCAATAACCATTAAAACAACAAACCTTTAAGATTATTGGAACAATAGAGTTAATTTCTTTAATTTTATTTTGTGCAATTATCTTCGAAATCAATTTTATACCATTTAATTCATAGAAATCTTTTTCTTGTTTCCAAAATTTTGATTGATGAATTGGATTTACATAAATTGAATTTTTGTGTCCCAAGTATATAAATCGACGCAATTTAATTTCAACTAATGAATAACTCATATTGGTAAATAAGATACTGCTAAACATACAATGTATCATATATTAATACATAATCAAATATTAATGTTTCTTGTGTTATTTTATCATTACATTCTTAGAACTAAATCAAATACTGTAAATATAAAATATTATATGTCCATACATAATTGTGTTTGTTTAAATATAGATACTTAAAATCTCATTTTTTAAATCTAATTCATTTTGAGCGAATTTAATACAAATATGTAACATAATAATATTAAATGGTAAACATAATTTTATTATTTTATATTATATATATTTTTATAAGCAGACTAGAATAACTAAAAAATATTCTAAATTTTTAACTAAAATTTGTCCAATTTTTTAGTAAGTAACATAATTGTTATATTATCCTAAGACAATTTTCTAATCTACAAGACAAAATTATATAAGTAGGTATTTTGATTAAATATATTAAAATGTACATTTTTCCTTTCAGCTCTTTAACTTAAACAGCAAAAGGCAAGTGATGCTTAATCTACTAGGTACGAGTTTTTTGATCCGACTATTGTTGGCAGTAAACATTTAGGTTGTAAATTAATATAATACTTAATATTGTTTACTTACATTTATTACAGGTACAGACTTTGAACTATCTGTGTTTGTATGAGTGAAATCTTACAAACTGTGACGCGGCTAATGTTGTTACTGACTATAGTCAGAACAATAAAAATAAATGTTTGGTTAATAAACAGATAGTTTTATATTTTATTATAAATATTATAAATAAAATAGGCACCTATAATAATATTATATAAATATGATATTGATATATCATGTGGTTTAATCTACTATACGAATATGATTACATTACAGCACGGATTAATATTAGTGGTTATAGTCTTATGGAATGTGAATTGTGAATGGGGCACGCCACTCGGCCATTGGCAACTCATTGGTGTGAGGAGCGGAGTATAGTGGTTCGCAAAATGTATGTAATTTGACAAATCGTTTGTGCAGTGCATGCAATGGAAACATAACCTCTAGTTGCGGTATAACTACCAGCGCGCACGGTGGTTAAGCTGTAGATTGGATAAAATTGTAGTATGTATATAATTTTTAAGGACGTATGATAAACTGTATAATAAAATATACTCGTTCTGACTTTTGTGTATGTCCGTGATTATTTTCAAATATCTCTCAATTTTTTATTTGTTTTGTATTTATTTATTTTTTTAAATTCAAAACCAGGAATTGATGATATACTATGTCAAATTGATATATGCATGTAMTGGTAAGGCCCAATGTTATTACTAACTAACAACAATTCATTATTATTTTTTATAAAAAATGAAAGTTAAAAAAGTAAAAAGTATGGCTAATTATACAAGTATGATCGCATTTAGACGCATTTCTATTTTGGGCTGCGCATGTACCTAGTATTATTGTATGATTTAGCATCTCAAGGAATCTTAACTAGCAATGTTTTTAGATTTACTTAGTCATGGAAATTAATAAATAGTATACTATTAGTATTGTTAACCAATAAACTGAAACTGAAGTGATATAATGCACTGTCAGTGGCAGCAATGACACCTATGTATCACTAAGTTGCCAATCACACTTATACATTTTGCCACGGTAGAAAGCTGCCAGCTGGTACCTAACCACTCTACCATACTGTTACGTCCCGACTGAACTTCGATTCATACATCAACGTAGAGATGAAATACTGATGTATACAATGTAATAGTGTCTTTATTTTTACAATTTATTAAAACTTGATACAAAAATACAGTAACCTGGTGAGCGGTGTTACGACCTTACTCTGAAATATTGTTTTAAATGACAATGAGTGGTTTTACGACCTGCCTCTAAGCGTCTTAAATGTCCCTAACCGTTTGATGAACTCTTGTCGTGGTCTCCCTTATATATGCTCGTGTCCATAGGTCGTATGTGGAGGTGAAATCTGGCACAAGGCAGAATTTGAGTCTCCTGGTGTAATTGGTTATTCTGGTCGATTCACATCTTTTCTTAATAACAGAGACTTTTTCCGAGAAGAGACGTATGACAATACTTTTATAGTTTAATTATCTAGTCTGTTGCTCACTACACATTTTGCAATGACCTCGGCATACTATTTTATATTAATTGCCTACTTAGTTATATCACCACTCATAGTAGAAACGTACACTATGTTTTGTATATTAATAGGGTACGTAACAATACGTACAGAAGGGAATTGAAGTTTATCCTGAGGAATAAATCTTAGAAATGATTAATAATAGAATGTCAGCACACTATTAGTTTTTTCTCTTACCCGTGTACAATATGGAAAATTTTCATTTAGTAGAACCAATCCTGTGTTAATTTTAATATTGGAACTAATTCACCTGTATCAAACTTTAAGTTTAAAAAACTAACTGTATACCTCTACCTTGTCTATTTCATATTTTAATTTTATGAGTGTATAAATTTTTACATTTAAAAATGATTAAAAATTTTATAAAAATTAAATTATTGTACATAAGTTAATGTAGGGACACGGGTAATGTTCTTAGCTTGAACTATGTTATAAGATAAATTAATAATTCTAATATTAAATGTAATAATACAGGGCTGGTTCTAAGTAAGCATACATTTGATATGTTGCAAGTGAGTCATAAAAAAAATAAATGTTGTGCTGACATCCTCATAAATTATTTATTAATTAATTTATAATAATTTTTAAATTCAAGCAAACATTTTTTTATTGATATTTATTGAAAAACAAAATAAATTATTTAAAATGTCTATAAGTAGCTMATATATAATTGATTCATTCAGAATCTAAAACTATTCTTTCAAATGTTATCTTGGTACATAATGAAAACTAAAAAATGTTCTTTTTAATCAACCAAAAACATATAAGAATATTAGTTGGTAAATTTCTCTGAACGAAAAAATTATCTATGCACAAAGCCAAAGTATTTGATTATCTCTTTACATTAACAATACATGAATAAAAACCAAAACCAGAAAAATTGTTTCAGATTATTGATTTTTAGTTATCAATATTGAAATCACCCCATAAAATTTGTTTTAAAATTGGAATTCTGTATAAAATAGTTATTTAAACAAGATAAAATAAAAAAAAAAAAACATCAAAATTATCACTAGGGGATCTATAACAGCCAGTTTTAAAATACCACTAATATCAAAATGTATTTAAATGGAATTAACATGAGACATGAGTTAGTACAAACATTTTTAACTTGATATCTAAAAATCTAAAAACTTATTATTTACACCACGAGAATTAAAGGATTAATAACCATCAATAACAAAATGTACTTAATCTAAAAGCTAAGTTTCATATAAAATAATAATATCAAAATTAACCATCGAAGTACTTAATGATACCGTCAATTCGTCAAAATGTTATTTAAATACCTACTACTTATATTTGTAACAAATATGGGAAATTTTTTACTATCAAMATTTAATTTATTCAATATTTATTTTTTAATATCATTGTTCATTTGTTTATGTAAAAAATATACAATGAACCAGGATCGGACTGGGCCCCCAGCTAGTTTGGGCCTCCTAACTTGATTTTCATATTTTAAATTTAAATAAGATTACCATTTTTTTAGTAACTGTATTTAAACATGTCTTAATATTTTGAAGGGCTCCTTATTGATTTTAGATATATAAAATAAAATGAATACCTATTATCAACGTTTATCTAACAACTGAATCGTCGTAATAATAACTTTATAAATTATAATAATTGCTCATGGGTCCTTCTGCCTTCGACCGCACGGCGTACACACACACACACACCAATTAATACAGATATAATAGCTGATGTATATATACAAGAAATGATAAACTTAGGAGATTAAATTTAATTGGTGCTACACGTTGGTGGAGCAAAGACAAAGCGTTAAGCTCTATTATAAAATTTAATGAAACTGACATAAAGAATTCAAGATTTTTATTATTATTAAATTTTTTGCTAGAAATAATTTCAAATCACTCTACATTTGATTCAAAAACAAAATTTACTGCTCGCATTCTATTACAAAATTGGTCTAAGTTTGATGTGATTATGACTGCAGCAATTTATCTGGACATATTTAGTATTAGCTCACCTATTTCTAAATTTCTTYAATCTCCGTCATTAAACTATCTAACTGCTTTTAATATGATTAACAATTTGCTTAAAGAAATTAGATCTAGAAGAGATAATGCTGATAGTATATTCATTAATCTTTATTCTAAAGTTAAACATTTTATTACAGAAATAAATAAACAGCTAGAATTAAATAGTAGTAATTTCACTATAAAAAATGATTTTAATGAGGGAAAATCTGTATAGGTAGAGTATCAAAAAAAAAAAAAAAATGTCTGGTGAAGAAGCAACAGATGAACGGCCAAATATGTCACTAATTGATAGGTTTAAAATTGAAACATTTAATTATATACATGATATTTCTGCAAACAGCTTGGATAAACGGTTTATAAGTAATACAAAATTACTAAGTGATTGTGTTTGCCTGGATCCTAAAAATTGTAATTCTATAAAAAATGAAGTACCTGCAAATGCGTTACTAGAACTTTCAATTCTAACAACTATTGATAGAAACACACTTGCTTGTTATGAATTATAACAATTTGCTTTACAGTTTAATTCTATTACTAAAACTTTTGAAGCTACTTTTACACATTTAACTGAAGACTCCCAATTTCCTATTTATGAACATGAAYTAGATTTAGATGAAGACCAAGCATCTGTAATTGATCCATCCAATAATTGTAAAACATGCAATAACTGTTTACGATGTGCTTTCAATGTGTTATATAATTTAGTTCAACAGTCTGGTTGTTTTAAAAATGTATATTATGCATATAAATTTGTATTAACTTTGCCATGTACCCAAGTTACTTGTGAAAGAACCTTTTCCAAATTAAAAAATGCTAAAACAAAACTAAGATCGACTATTTCCCAAGATACAATGGAAGCATTATTATTAATGAATATAGAAAGAAATGTT